ATTGCAGCTAATTTTATGGAATAAGCGTTACATCTGTTTTTGTTGCAGCTTATTTTATGACATAAGCGTTACATCTGTTTTTATTGCAGCTAATTTTATGACATAAGCGTTACATCTGTTTTTATTGCAGCTAATTTTATGGAATAAGCGTTACATCTGTTTCTGTTGCAGCTTATTTTATGACATAAGCGTTACATCTGTTTTTGTTGCAGCTAATTTTATGACATAAGCGTTACATCTGTTTTTGTTGCAGCTTATTTTATGACATAAGCGTTACATCTGTTTTTGTTGCAGTTTATTTTATGACATAAGCGTTACATCTGTTTTTGTTGCAGTTTATTTTATGACATAAGCGTTACATCTGTTTTTGTTGCAGTTTATTTTATGACATAAGCGTTTCATCTGTTTTTGTTGCAGTTTATTTTATGACATAAGCGTTACATCTGTTTTTGTTGCATCTTATTTTATGACATAAGCGTTACATCTGTTTTTGTTGCAGTTTATTTTATGACATAAGCGTTACATCTGTTTTTGTTGCAGTTTATTTTATGACATAAGCGTTACATCTGTTTCTGTTGCAGCTTATTTTATGACATAAGCGTTACATCTGTTTTTGTTGCAGTTTATTTTATGACATAAGCGTTACATCTGTTTTTGTTGCATCTTATTTTATGACATAAGCGTTACATCTGTTTCTGTTGCAGCTTATTTTATGACATAAGCGTTACATCTGTTTTTGTTGCAGTTTATTTTATGACATAAGCGTTACATCTGTTTCTGTTGCAGCTAATTTTATGACATAAGCGTTACATCTGTTTCTGTTGCAGCTTATTTTATGACATAAGCGTTACATCTGTTTTTGTTGCAGTTTATTTTATGACATAAGCGTTACATCTGTTTTTGTTGCCGCTTATTTTATGACATAAGCGTTACATCTGTTTTTGTTGCAGTTTATTTTATGACATAAGCGTTACATCTGTTTCTGTTGCAGCTAATTTTATGACATAAGCGTTACATCTGTTTCTGTTGCAGCTTATTTTATGACATAAGCGTTACATCTGTTTTTGTTGCAGTTTATTTTATGACATAAGCGTTACATCTGTTTTTGTTGCCGCTTATTTTATGACATAAGCGTTACATCTGTTTTTGTTGCAGTTTATTTTATGACATAAGCGTTACATCTGTTTTTGTTGCCGCTTATTTTATGACATAAGCGTTACATCTGTTTTTGTTGCCGCTTATTTTATGACATAAGCGTTACATCTGTTTTTGTTGCAGCTAATTTTATGACATAAGCGTTACATCTGTTTTTGTTGCCGCTTATTTTATGACATAAGCGTTACATCTGTTTCTGTTGCAGCTAATTTTATGACATAAGCGTTACATCTGTTTCTGTTGCAGCTTATTTTATGACATAAGCGTTACATCTGTTTTTGTTGCAGTTTATTTTATGACATAAGCGTTACATCTGTTTTTGTTGCAGTTTATTTTATGACATAAGCGTTACATCTGTTTTTGTTGCAGTTTATTTTATGACATAAGCGTTACATCTGTTTCTGTTGCAGCTAATTTTATGACATAAGCGTTACATCTGTTTCTGTTGCAGCTTATTTTATGACATAAGCGTTACATCTGTTTTTGTTGCAGTTTATTTTATGACATAAGCGTTACATCTGTTTTTGTTGCCGCTTATTTTATGACATAAGCGTTACATCTGTTTTTGTTGCAGTTTATTTTATGACATAAGCGTTACATCTGTTTCTGTTGCAGCTAATTTTATGACATAAGCGTTACATCTGTTTCTGTTGCAGCTTATTTTATGACATAAGCGTTACATCTGTTTTTATTGCAGCTAATTTTATGGAATAAGCGTTACATCTGTTTTTGTTGCATCTTATTTTATGACATAAGCGTTACATCTGTTTTTGTTGCAGCTTATTTTATGACATAAGCGTTACATCTGTTTTTGTTGCAGTTTATTTTATGACATAAGCGTTACATCTGTTTTTGTTGCAGTTTATTTTATGACATAAGCGTTACATCTGTTTTTGTTGCAGTTTATTTTATGACATAAGCGTTACATCTGTTTTTGTTGCATCTTATTTTATGACATAAGCGTTACATCTGTTTTTGTTGCAGTTTATTTTATGACATAAGCGTTACATCTGTTTTTGTTGCATCTTATTTTATGACATAAGCGTTACATCTGTTTTTGTTGCAGTTTATTTTATGACATAAGCGTTACATCTGTTTTTGTTGCAGTTTATTTTATGACATAAGCGTTACATCTGTTTTTGCTGCAGTTTATTTTATGACATAAGCGTTACATCTGTTTTTGTTGCAGTTTATTTTATGACATAAGCGTTACATCTGTTTTTGTTGCAGTTTATTTTATGACATAAGCGTTACATCTGTTTTTGTTGCAGTTTATTTTATGACATAAGCGTTACATCTGTTTTTGTTGCAGTTTATTTTATGACATAAGCATTACATCTGTTTTTGTTGCATCTTATTTTATGACATAAGCGTTACATCTGTTTTTGTTGCAGTTTATTTTATGACATAAGCATTACATCTGTTTTTGTTGCATCTTATTTTATGACATAAGCGTTACATCTGTTTTTGTTGCAGCTTATTTTATGACATAAGCGTTACATCTGTTTTTGTTGCAGTTTATTTTATGACATAAGCGTTACATCTGTTTTTGTTGCAGCTTATTTTATGACATAAGCGTTACATCTGTTTTTGTTGCAGTTTATTTTATGACATAAGCGTTACATCTGTTTTTGTTGCAGTTTATTTTATGACAAGCGTTACATCTGTTTTTGTTGCATCTTATTTTATGACATAAGCGTTACATCTGTTTTTGCTGCAGTTTATTTTATGACATAAGCGTTACATCTGTTTTTGTTGCAGTTTATTTTATGACATAAGCGTTACATCTGTTTTTGTTGCCGCTTATTTTATGACATAAGCGTTACATCTGTTTTTGTTGCAGTTTATTTTATGACATAAGCGTTACATCTGTTTTTGTTGCAGCTTATTTTATGACATAAGCGTTACATCTGTTTTTGTTGCAGTTTATTTTATGACATAAGCGTTACATCTGTTTTTGTTGCAGTTTATTTTATGACAAGCGTTACATCTGTTTTTGTTGCATCTTATTTTATGACATAAGCGTTACATCTGTTTTTGTTGCAGTTTATTTTATGACATAAGCGTTACATCTGTTTTTGTTGCAGCTTATTTTATGACATAAGCGTTACATCTGTTTTTGTTGCATCTTATTTTATGACATAAGCGTTACATCTGTTTTTGTTGCAGTTTATTTTATGACATAAGCGTTACATCTGTTTTTGTTGCAGCTTATTTTATGACATAAGCGTTACATCTGTTTTTGTTGCAGTTTATTTTATGACATAAGCGTTACATCTGTTTTTGTTGCATCTTATTTTATGACATAAGCGTTACATCTGTTTTTGTTGCAGCTTATTTTATGACATAAGCGTTACATCTGTTTTTGTTGCAGTTTATTTTATGACAAGCGTTACATCTGTTTTTGTTGCATCTTATTTTATGACATAAGCGTTACATCTGTTTTTGTTGCAGTTTATTTTATGACATAAGCGTTACATCTGTTTTTGTTGCAGCTTATTTTATGACATAAGCGTTACATCTGTTTTTGTTGCAGTTTATTTTATGACAAGCGTTACATCTGTTTTTGTTGCATCTTATTTTATGACATAAGCGTTACATCTGTTTTTGCTGCAGTTTATTTTATGACATAAGCGTTACATCTGTTTTTGCTGCAGTTTATTTTATGACATAAGCGTTACATCTGTTTTTGTTGCCGCTTATTTTATGACATAAGCGTTACATCTGTTTTTGTTGCAGTTTATTTTATGACATAAGCGTTACATCTGTTTTTGTTGCAGCTTATTTTATGACATAAGCGTTACATCTGTTTTTGTTGCAGTTTATTTTATGACATAAGCGTTACATCTGTTTTTGTTGCAGTTTATTTTATGACATAAGCGTTACATCTGTTTTTGTTGCATCTTATTTTATGACATAAGCGTTACATCTGTTTTTGTTGCAGTTTATTTTATGACATAAGCGTTACATCTGTTTTTGTTGCATCTTATTTTATGACATAAGCGTTACATCTGTTTTTGTTGCAGCTTATTTTATGACATAAGCGTTACATCTGTTTTTGTTGCAGTTTATTTTATGACATAAGCGTTACATCTGTTTTTGTTGCATCTTATTTTATGACATAAGCGTTACATCGTTTTTGTTACGGCTTTCAGATTCTATCTTCCCTGTTGGTGTCCAACATCACAGGAAACAGATGATCAGTGAAGTAAGCTTTAGGTAAAGCGTGGTTGCGATGCAGGAAAAAATGTATTGCTTTGCATTTTTAAACTTAATTCCCATCATACAAAGTTAGTAAGTTAAAAGATTAGTAGTAGTTAGAAAGCAACTAAGATAATTTTAGGACCTTTTGAAAAGTTTTTGTGATTCGAAAACCGAGTATATTTTCAAGCGATAAATGTTCATATTTGTGTGAATTGCAATAATTTTAAATTCTTTCTGCTCCGCAATCACGCCATAGTAGGACTCCTCTGCTAAGAAGTCCGTCTGAGTAGGTAGTAGGTACGACCATCTTTCCTGTTTTGCCGCCAAAAATATTTTTGTTGTGTTCCGTTTTAAATCATCCTCCGTTCGTAAATGGTACAGAGTACCTGTATATTCACAGACTGTGAGGTATTTCGTCTTAGTCTTCAGAGGTGACAACGTATCGGTAGTCTACTTTATTCGAAATTGGTTGCAGGAGTCCATGGACTGCATCAAAAATAGCAAACCATAAGCTGGACTGTAAGTTCATTTATCACTTCAGTACAACACTTAATAAAATTAGGAATGATCCTTCTTCTCATCCTGATGTAAAAAATCTGGCAAACTCCCTACTCAGTGAACTTTCAAATATATGTGCGTTTATGGTAATTGATGAAACTTATCTATTAGCAACGATCCTTGACACACGATTCAAAAAAAGGAATTTCAGCACATCAGTGGTCGCTGAAACCGCTCGATCAGTTCTTAACGCTGCTGTTGATGACAGAGAGGCTGTAAGACCGACAAGACCTTCAGAAGTACCGCAACCGTCGACAAGTACAGGAATTTGGCTAGCATGCCAAGAAATAATTGAAAAGGCCGAAATGGAAGAGCCAATTTCAATATTTTCTGGTGAGTATTAAAAAGGAAAGTTAGTAACTTTTAATGGGTAATCATTATCATCTACATAGTAAAAGTAAAATTTAATTTCAAAATTTGTTTACAGGGGATTCGCAAACTAAAAACGAGATAGATGCTTATCTAAAGCTCCCAAATTTATCGCCGACTGCTGATCCATTGGTCTTTTGGCGAGAAAATGTCCATTTTCCAAGGCTGAAAAAACTCGCCCAAAATATTTTTCACTGAAGCTATGTACAGTCGCTTCGGAAAGACGTTTTTCAACGGCTGGGAATATCACACTGAAAACAGAAATCGCCTAAAAACAGAAAATCTACAAATTTTATGTTTTTTAAATAAAAATTTTCTTATTGCAAAATTTAATTATTAGAACAATAGAAAATCATCAAATAAATTAGTTTTTTATTACCATGGCGAGATATTAGTATTCGTATTCGCCGAATAGTAGGTTTAATATTCGTATTCGTATTCGTAAAAGTAGTATTCGTTGCATCACTACTCAAGGCATATACCGACATAAATTGCACTCGAACAAACATCTAGTGGACCTGGATCCAAAACAAGTGTTAAATATTACAACAAAAAAATATTAAAATAATACATTGTAAGGTAAGCATATGACTTTTGTGCAGGTGCAAAAATTAAAAAAAAATATATTTTCTTGTTATTATCTGTCGTGAAAAGTGGTCATTAATTTTAATTTTTATTGTTACAAAGTTTCTTTAGCATTTTGTTTTACCAATTTATTTTAAAACGAAGCACGTACGTCACGTATTTGTCATGTCGTGAGCTTAATGTTATCCACTGCCGGCCATGGGTCTCTCTCCTAATAGGGATAATATTTTCTTATAGAATAAGGTTGGCAAAAAACACAGTTTACCTGTCATGCTATATGTATACTATGACCCATAGTAATCTACATCTATTTTTGGTTAAGAATCAAAATGCAGGTGCATTGTCAGCCCCGAAGACTAAAAAAGGATTGACGAAGCATTCCAGTAAAAAGGGTCTCCGGTAATAACAGCAGCGATAACCTCATTTTACGCTGGTATTCTGTGAGAGTGTGGTCCTTCCCGGTCGAGACTATCCATTCGTGCTACAACTATAATATAGCTGTAGTATAACTCTACCACATAGTAATTAAACATAATCGCTAGCTTGGTAGAGGGAATGTGGATTATAATACCAGATGTCGTGCACCTTTGATGCTGCTTTCCGTTGTCGGACAGTATATTTTAAATCTGGTAATACCGTCATGTATCTGTAGCCATGATGTTTTACGGGCAACTTCCATAGTCATCTTTTATCACATCCAAGAGAATCTATGGGCTGATACATGATGGATTCTTTTACGCCGCCATCACACGGCAAATGCTTATATTATTAATGATTTTATAAAATCAATATTTTGCAAAAACAAAGACTTTTATTTCAAATACATATCTGGACCTATTCTCCTGTTACCCAAAGGGGTGGGCAGAGACTACGGCCTTCTTAAATACAAATTTTCGAGAGTAAATTAGCTTTTCCTATTTTCTCTGCAACTTTTTTAATGTGTAATCAATCTATGCTTACGCAAAAAGTAGGATAAATTGGTAATTGGTTGGATATGAATGCCGTGAGTGAGGGACGAAATTGTTACGCAACCAAATTGGTAAGGATGTTGGGCAAGAGGAGTCTATGTAGCTGTCCTTGGAATACTGACCGCTTTGTGACATTTACTTCGAATGTACGCATTTTGAAAGGTATAATATCAGCTCATTCTGAACAATTCGTTTCATTCTGGGTGCCTCTGTCTTAAGTAATACCGGATAAATGTAATAGGTTGCCCGCGTTTTATGAAATTTAAGGCCATAGTTCATTCATTTATACGTGATAGATCCATTTTGCAGCTAGATCATGGTTGTAGCACGAATGGGTCGGCTCGACCGGGGAAGAACCAATCTTAAAGAATGCCAGCGTCAAATAGCAGTTAAATGATGCTGTGTTTCGTATGGTAATCGTAGAGAACCGGAGACCCTTTTCACTGGATACGAGGCATTCCATCTTAGTCCTCAGGGGTGGAAATGCATCTGCATTTTGATTCTTATTTGAGGATAGATGTAGGTGTCTATGGGCCATAGCATCCACTTACGAGTACCAACAGGGTGGGCTGTGTGCACGCTTGTTCATTTACAAAATTTATTGGTTTGTTCATTCATAACAGCCTTTCAAATCTCCACTGCAGAACATAGGCGTCCCCTATAGATTGCTTCACAGTGGAGATATTTGCCATAGTCGCCAATCTTGGGAGGCGGGTTGGCAACCGCAGTTCTTTTGTTTTGAGTTATAATAAGAGAGACGCTGTTGCCAATTTTATTTCCCTCTGTTGCCGCTTACGAAACCCATGATATGATATGGGGTTGGTGATTCTTTAACGACGCTATTTCGCTAATTCTATTTTTATAATATTCCTTGAAGTACGAAGATGGATGGGACAATTTTAAAAAATTGCCTGAAAAAGTCTAAAAACAACACTTTTCTATATTCCCATACAAAAGATTCGTAATAATACTTAAAAGTCAATTTGAACTTTAATACCATACCATAAAGTTTAAGTGTTAATGGAGTGGTTCCGGGAAGGCAAAACAATTAAGTGACGTTAGTATCGTATAAATATTAATGTCAATATTTTGTCAATATTGACAGATAGATAGTAGACTGGCAGATAGTTGATGTTATAAGGAATAACTTGGGCTGCTTTTATTTTAGGGTTCTGCGAAAAATAACTCCACGCGGACGAAGTCGTGGGTAACAGCTGGTTATTATATAATGAATACGATGGCCTTTATGATTTTTATACTCATCATTTAAGAATTTGCAATTGTTACGAGGCTTCATTTAAACTTGAGCCTTTTAAATCTTTCTCACCTCTACACAGCCCAATTAACCCCATAACCCAATAAAAACAATAGTCCACCTGATGATAAGAGGTTGCTGCGACCCACAGACACCTATCTATTCTGAATTAGAAATCAAAATGCAAATACTAGGTCGAAGATGTAATGTAACTCGTCATCAGTAAAAAGAGTCTTCAGTTCTCGTGGCTTACCGTACTTTCACACGGCAGCACTATGCTGTTGATAACCTGGTATCCTATACAAAAGTAGTCCTTCCGCGATAGAAGCGATCCAGTCGTGCTGCTGTCATAATACGCTGCAGCGTCTACTACGTTTTAAATGTACGAGGTCCTTCCCCGGTCAAGTCGACTAAGCTTAGTATAGTCTAGTTTTTATCAAGAAAAATAGTAAAAAAGCGTTTTGTCTAATAAATTAAGAAAATATAATAATATTTGTAGGAAATGTGAAGAGATACACGCATTGGGACGGCGGTGGACTCCTTCATGCTCCAAAACTTTCTTAAAGATTTTTTCTAGCTATAAACTACGCTAATATAATGTATTTATAGTGCTACATAAACCACCTGCTATCGAATACATTTTTCTAATTATTAATTTGTATATTATATGTAGGTATAAGAATCCAGGATCCGCATCTCAGGCAGATACGTTGACCACCGAGTAACGTGGTCGTTGCCTAAATGTTATAAAAACAAGTCCAAAGGCTAAAACCTTAGAGTATTTATGAGCATAGCTTGCTTTTTTATAGGATAGGGTGACAAACGAGCACACAGTCCACCTGATGGTATCTCGTTTGCGAATCAAAATGCAGATGCGTTGTCACCCATGAGGACTAAGATGGAATGCCTCTTTTCTCACCATACGAAACACATCAGTGTTAAGCTGCTATTTTTCGCTGGTATTCTGTGTTAGCGAGGTCCATTCCCGGTCGAGCCGACCCATTCGTGCTACGACTATACTACTAATATAGCTGCAGCATGGCTCTACCACGTTCCTTATTTATACTCTAAGGTTAAAACAATAATAAAAAAACCCGACTGCATAAAGAAGTTTATTAAAAAGATAAAAGTTTTAAATTCTATGTCAGTCCAACAATTAACACTAATCTAACGAAACCTCTAATGTTAAACTCTATCAACTTTAGGCGTGCCAAAGAAATAGATACATAATACACACATACTCTTGAAAAACATTACCCTTCTATTGAGTCAGTCGGATAAAGATATTAATCATACAATTAATAACACGATCGATTACGTTTGCATTGGGCGACGGAGAAGGTAATAATTTTAATTTAAATCAATCAAAAGCATTCCATTCCTTTATTTGATATCGGCTGTGGATGGCAATTTTTAAATACCAAGTATAAAATACCGTCCATTTTTTTATAACAGAATCCTACTTAATTGGATTTCGGAAATTTTAAGAACCAATGGGAATTTCAGAAATGTCAAGAATTAAGAACCGACATGTCAAAATCGACGCGTCCGTCGATTCTAACTGTTAGATGAGAAGATAGTGTGCTAGATGTGCTTGACTACTGAACATGTTTCGGTGGTTATTATTATTACGTAATTAATTAGTAAAGAAAAAAAAACAGCTTCCTAATACTTACAACTATAAGTTTTTTTCTGTTTTAGTTGTCTACTTCTGTTTATTTTTACCTAGGCATGGTTACGTATAAATAACATAAAGCTTGTTTGCATGTTCCATTCTAAGATTAAGTGTTTTTCATTACGATTTGTAAAGCATGTTGGTGCCTAAATGAATACATAAATAATTTTACCCAAAAATCCAATTAATACAACATTAACACAAACTCAACCCTGGTCATATAAATATCACGATATTTTACACCGGTAAGCAGTGTTAATGAAAAATTATATTATGAAAAATTATACATGCATATATAATCACGCCTCTTTCCCGTAGGGGTAGGCAGAGACCACTTCTTTCCACTTGCTACGATCCTTACATACTTGTTTCGCTTCGTCCACTTTCATTATTCCCTTCATACATGCTAGAGCAAGAGTATCTTAAACCGTAGACGACTTAAGGTACTCTTGCCTTTTTTCAAGACGTCCCTGATTTGGTCTGGAAATGTCCGCCTAGGTTTAACCCTCCCAACACTTTCATTCACACTCGCCTTATACACTTTTTTCGTCAATCGTTCTTCATTCATTCTCTCGACATGACCAAACCATCTCAGCATACCTTTCTCAATTTTTGTCACTACATCTTCTTTCAAAGAATATGAAAGAAAGAAAAATTATATTTTATATTATGCATATATTATAATAATCATTCAAATTACACATTTAACATGGTA